ACAAATTACAAATTTGATCTCCAGCTTGAGAAATAAAAGTAAAGATTCATCAGTCATACGGATGATTGGCCAAAGTCCAAGCAAGAGAAATGTAGATTGCATATGATAAATCCAAATGTAGATTGTATATGAATATCAATTTAATGGTGAATTGTATAAAGGTGTACAATACATGTCTCACACTTCAGATAAGGTAATTGTATTTTCCTTCGCTCTAGTGCAAGCGGCGGCGGATCTAATCTCTACCAGCTCCAGCGCTCAACCCGTGGGTTTTCCTCCCCTCTTTGACATATTTGATGGAGCTCCGGCGTACATTCTTGATGTCTCTTTGGGGCAGTGAGGCTAGGGTTTCTTCATGTGCGGACGGAGACCAATGGTGGCAGACACTTCAGATCAATTCAAGGTTCAACGCTGACGACTGTGGCTACGGGGCATCCGTCCTTAGGGGCAAGTGCATGAACTCTTCCCGACTATCATCGACAAGGTCAGACAAACTTCTGTAGGGGAGAAGCGACAACGGCACGTCGACAGCTCGTTCAGTGACGATACTGGTCGTACGGTGGTCCAGAGAACTTGATGTAATTTTCATTATGTTGGGATGCTTTGCACTTCTAGCTAGGGAACCTAGTAGATTTGGGCTCTTCTTCATAGAAGGAAAAAAAACGTGTCGTGACGTCATGCACTGTAACTTATACGTGCGCACTCTTGATTGATTATGTGAGATCATGACGATATCGGATAAGTGACCGACCGATCGATCGATCGATCTCGGAACCTGACTAACATATCGATTCGGTCTCTCGCTTCTTGCCTGTTGTGTGACCCTTTAAATATGGGAGCACCGAGCCCAACCTGAACCAAATCGATCCAAGCTTACGAGCTTTCCCTTCCCGATCGAGGAGAAATCAAGCAAGCGAATCAAGAACCATGGCTGATGCGACGCCAGCGGAAGCAAGCAGCAGCGGCGAGGCCGCGGGCGAGAAGAGCAATAAGAAGATCACGCTGATCAGCTCCGACGGCGAGAGCTTCGAGGTCACGGCGGAGGCGGCGGCCATGTCGCAGACCATCCACCACATGATGGAGGACAACTGCGTCGAGAACGGCATCCCGCTGCCCAACGTGCCCTCCAAGATCCTCTCCAAGGTCATCGAGTACTGCAACAAGCACGTCTCCAGCGGCGAGCAGGACCTCAAGAGCTTCGACGCCAGCTTCATCAACGTCGACCAGGACACGCTATACGACCTCATCCTCGCCGCCAACTATCTGGACGTCAAGGGGCTCCTGGAACTCTGCCTGCAGACGGTGGCCGACATGATCAAGGGCAAGACGGTCGAGGAGATACGCAAGACGTTCAACATCAAGTGCGACTTCTCGCCAGAGGAGGAGGCCGAGATAAAAAAGGAGAACCAATGGGCCTTCGAGTAGACACGTCACCGCACGTCCTAGTAGAACATTTTTTTAATCTTCATCTGCAGCTGCTTAAGTCAAGTCTTTTGATGTTTTTCCTCTTCATTTAATTACTACACTATTTGGGCTAGTTTACTTGGTTGTTTGGCGCGGTAAAAACTGTATGATTATCGGATGCATAAATTATTCGTTAATATACTATGCTACTAGTATCTACTCCTATGAAATATGTGTGGCGTAATTAATTATCTATGAGATACTTCGTTTATATACATTGCCACATTTTCTCATCGGCAGTGGCAACCCTGAGCCCGCGTAGCTTTGACCGGGGCGATTCCCCCATGGCTTCGCATACAGGTGGCTGGCGGGTGTCAGTTTTTTCAACTTTAGTTGAATCGAGTGTAGCTACGCCCGGTTCTTGAGAAGGAACTTTGCAACAACATTAGATACAAAAGACATCACTAAATATTTGCTAGAATAGTAAAACCAAAGAAAACAAGAACCACAAGTATGCATTTCAGAAGATTTCCAACTTCCATAACTTCTCCCATAAGTTGGACTAATATCTTCTCCATGCATTCATTGTTGATCTACGGATTCTTCATTTTGCATTCTTCTTTCTTCATCTTTGGTTCAAAAGAAGTAGACGTTGCTTCCCCTCTAGTTGCACATGCAGCCGCATCATTGCCTTCGATTGTACTAAGGTGCACTAAAACCTATTAAGTTTCTTTCTACAAACAAATCAATGTATTGGCCTTCCCAAAACCAAAATGAGCATCCATCATCCTACACAAAAGAATGAACAAGCTCAAAGTGAGCTACCGCAATTGAACTAAAGAATGAGCTATGAAATGAGCTACCGCAAGTGCACGTACCCCGTCATTTTCGCATTTGAAGAACACCCATCCGGGGTGCTTCGGCGTGCCCGAAGTGAGCCGCAACACTTTCCGCATGCATTCGTCGCACTCTATGAGCGGCATCGGCAAGCCACAAAGACACTACGCGAGCGCCGAGCCCGGTCGACGGCCGGAAGAATCCATGCCCGCAAACCTTCGGCGGCGGCGGGTGGATGAACCCGTACCTGCATGCGGCGATGCACCCTTGCCTGGGCTGCGGGAGAGGCTCCCCGACCACTCCATCGCTTGGGGCAGCAACCGGCGGCCCATGATGAAGTGCCGCAGATCTGCAAATCCGGCGGCCCGCCGACACAGGGGAGGGGGGGGAGGGGAGGCCTCGTGCGCGTGGCATCCTTCTGGCGTGCTCCCGCCGGCTGCTTTCGCCGGAATCTTGGGCGGCGGCCGGCGGCGGCGCGAGGGGGGGAGAGGAGAGGTGGTTGGTGAGGGAAAGTGCGGGATGAAATGTCTCCCCCCCACCAACCGCTTCCGCTTATATACAGGGCATCGCAGCCGCGGGGAAACCCACGTTTTCCCGTGTTGGGGTCGGGATTTTGCCGCGCCCCCTAAAATTTTTTACGGGCCGGGGCGGGATGCGAGGTCTGATCGGGCTGGTTTTTCCGCCCCAACTCGCATTTTGGCAGTTACTTTACGGGTCGGAGTGAGATGCGGGGTCTGCTATAGTTGCTCTTATAGTATGGGGTGGTGAGGCGATGATGCTTCTCTGGTATAAGGTAATAAGGATCAGGTCGTCACCATCGACAACTTCTTCTAGGAAGAGGACATGTACACAAAGATTCTACTCAACGTACAGCTCCCCTTACAATGCTAGCAGTGCTATATGTTTTTAGTATAGAGTGTAGTGATATTTACCCGGGGGTCAGTGACGGAGCGTGACACAAAAGTAACTAGTGGCCAAATTCCAAGCCCAAAATGCTAGCACATGCCGAATAACTGAATAAGCAAATTGTCTCACACGGGCTACCATTTACTAATTTTAATGGGCCAAAACCTTTATTTTTTTGCGGGAAGACCATGCCATTGCTCGGTATGATCTCTAAGAGGCTCTGCCCTACCGGGGGAGGACGGTTTATGAATGTTACTATGGTTTATTTATTCAGTAGTTGATTTGTATTTTGTGTTCGATTCATATGTATCACTATTGTTATTCATTTCTTGGATGCAATTAATTAGCATAGGCCAACCAAAATAGAAAAACACATAAGGTTGCATTTTTTTAGGATATCGGCCTTCTTTCCTACGGGGCATTAAACTCCTTTTCATGTAACAAAATATAAGCCTTCTCTCCATGGTTGTTAAACCACAACTTAGTTTCTTCACAATCTAATTTGGCAAATTTTAGCATGCTCCCTCTTACTTCCATTTCTCACATGAGAGGTAAGAGTTGATTAGATCTGAACCATTAATTTGATTAAGTAGTGATCAGATTTGCTCTTACCTTCTTACCTCCCATATGAAAAGAGGGATGTTAAAAGTACTCATCTAATTTAGTCCACTTGCCTAGAGACACAAAGCTAATATATTGCGTTGGATAGATACTCCCTCCGTTCCCAAATATTTGTCTTTCTAGCCATTTCAAATGGTTACAACATATGGATGTATGTAGACATATTTTAGAGTGTAGGTTCACTCATTTTACTTCGTATGTAGTCACTTGTTGAAATCTCTAGAAAAACAAATATTTAGGAACGGAGGAAGTACATGATTGGAGGAAGTATACAAAAAAACACGATTGGAACCCTGTGACAGAATTGTAGCCAAGCAAAATATTTATCTTACTATGTTAATACTATTGACCAAGTCCAAAGTTCCTCTAATTGAATATGTAAAAGAAATCAGATGCCAACATGAACTCACATGAACATCAATGAGGAACGAGCATTGATTACCATCTGGAGGTGGAGACGATTACACACAGCTTCTGCCTGCACAAGAATTAGTACCATTGGCGAATAGTCAATTACCCCGTGGTGCTAGAACTTCACTTTGGTGCTACAAATTATGACATAGATCGAACTGATGTAAAAACTTGACTAATATGGTGCAAACCACGTTTGGATACAAAAGCGGCGCTAACTAGGCTGACCTGTGTGCCACAGGTCCACTCTCAGTGACCGGAAGCCATGGAGGGAGGCGTGTGCTGTAGCCTGTTTTTCGCAAAAACAGCCTCAATTTTTTTAATTTCTCATACAAAAGGTCCGAGGGTATTTTTGGACAATAACATGCCACACGTCATTCAGTGGCTCAAAGCGGGACCCATGCCACGGAGGCAAGCCTAGTCAGCGCCGCTTTCATATTCAAATGTGATTTGCACCGTATTTGGACGCCAGAGCCATGAAGTTACACCAATTCAGATTAATTTTGCCACATCAATCTCGCCTTTTGTTATTAGCTCCGAATGCAACACATCGATTTAGTTCAGAGTCGAGGAACAACCAGAACACATCTCGGCTGTTCTTATATTTGATCTGACTTTTGATGTGTGAACGTACGTCACGTACCTACGACGTACGTAGCAGGTTAGCTTCCAGTTACCTAACGCGGCCGGCCATGCACGCCTGACCCGTGCCATTCTCCTCGACGTCCTCGTAGTATATATGCAGCACCAGCTCCACACACGACTCATCAGCTCGGCGAGCAGACCAAAGAGGCAGCAAAGACTAGGAGGAGACGCACAACATGCATCCATGTCGGGACCTCCACCTCCACCTCGCCGTCTCGGCAACGGCGGTGCTCTTCTTCTCCGCCTCCGTCATCCTCTCGGCCGTCCCTGCAGCCAGAGCCCAGCAGGAAACCGGTACGATGAACTCGGTCACCCTCCGTCGATCGATCCATCCATTCATCGATATAATCCCCAATTCCCCATTGCCTTCATGTCTTATGTCCGTTGCAGAGCACGAGGAAGAGTTCAGCTACTCGCCGGACGCGGAGAACGGGCCGGCGCACTGGGGCCAGATCAAGGCGGAGTGGTCGGCGTGTGGCAACGGGGAGATGCAGTCGCCCATCGACCTCGCCGGGCCGCGTGTGACCCTGGTGCGCCGCCTCGGCCACCTCAACCACTCCTACGCCCCCGCTAACGCATCCGTCGTCAACCGCGGCCACGACATCATGGTGCGGTTCGAGGGCGACGCCGGGAGCGTGTCCATCGACGGCACGGCGTACCACCTCCGGCAGCTGCACTGGCACGCGCCCACGGAGCACAGCGTCAACGGCCGCCGGTACGACATGGAGCTCCACATGGTGCACCAGAGCGCCAAGAACAAGACCGCCGTCATCGGCGTCTTCTACGAGATCGGTGCCCGCGACGCCTTCCTGCACAAGCTGGAGCCATACCTGGAGATGATCGCCAAGCAGCCGGAGAGGGAGGAGAAGGTGGGCGTGGTGGACGCCAGGGGTGCCAGGGGGAGGGCCAGCGTGTACTACCGCTACGTGGGCTCCCTCACCACCCCGCCATGCACCCAAGGGGTCATCTGGACCATCGTCAAGCGGGTAGGTTTCCTTCCCGCAGCCATTGTTTTCTCTAGATTGGCCGTTGGCACGGTGATATAGCATTGGTTGATCGGAATTTAGATCACTGAAAGAGTGAAAGTCCTGTTACATCATATGCATGGTTGGTGCATGCATGGTGAGGGAACTTCTTTTTCTCGAGGGAATGAATGGCGAGGGAATTGATTCTTTCTGAAACTTCTCTCTGGTTCTACAGGTTCGTACCGTGTCGCGGCATCAGCTGGAGCTTCTCCGAGAGGCTGTCCACGACGTAAGATTTTCTTTTTCCCAATGCAGTTTCATTCTGTTTCCTCGAATCCTCTTCATGGAAGCGAGCATTTCGACCCGACGTACCGATCCGTATCCTCCTGGTGCACTAAACTCTGTCTTTAATTCGGTTGACCAAAAACATGGCTAAAATGCCAAAGCCACATGAAAACTGCCTTCAGCTCGGTTGATCTCACCGTTGAGGCGTGGACACTAACATATGATTGAGTCAGTGTAAAGAAAGAAAAACTAGGAGTGATTTTCTTCCTTCCACCTTGCAGGAAATGGAGAAGAACGCGAGGCCGCGTCAGGAGGTGAACAACAGAGACATCAACATGTTCTGGCCTATCCAGCAGAATAAGCACTGATTATCACAGTCGGTTCTCTGCTTAATTAGAGTTTTGTCAAAAACCTGAGAGATGAAGCCCATTGTACCAAATTATTGTAGACCTCCTTTACACCTCCTCAAGAAAAGTCTCTTCCTCCTCCCGGGGGCGGCTCCGCCGCCGATGCACCCCACCTCCGATGGCCTTTGGGCCTTGGAGGCGCGGAGGATCTCGGCTCCTCTTTGGCAGGAGGGACCCCATTCTTGTTTTTGTTAAGTTCAACGTTTTGGTTGGGTTTGTGTAAAGGTGGCGATGTTCCTGAGTAGGAATAATGTCTCCCAGTTCGATCCCTATCCCGATGGTGCGAATAGCGTCGTCGTCAGGGGGCGGCTGGAATTGTCTCTCTGTCGGATCTTGCAGGATTCGGTTGGTGCTTGTTCTCGGGGGATCTATTTGAATCTAGTTTGTGTTCGTCTTCGTTCGTGTGCTTACTGGTTTGATTTTTCCGATCTATAACTCTCTTTGTCGGCGATGGTTGTTGTTTTGGTGCGCTGGTTCTTTGGGGCCTTAGCATGACGACTTCTCGACTGTCTATTACAACAAGGTTTGTCCTGCTCCGGTGAGGAAGGGGTGATGACGGCGGCGTGCCTTCGATTCGCTCCACTGGTTGTAATCGTCGCTAGGTGGTCCATGGATCTGGTTGTAATTTTTATTACCTCTAGAGTTCTCTGTACTCCCATGATTGATGAATATATTGAAGATTTCTCTCTCCCTCTCTCTAAAAAAAAACGACCTGAGAGATGGATTAGGTTGCGTATTGTGTACGTACATGTGATTATAGAACTGCAATTTGTTTCGTTCTATTTGTACATTTCGATGCCTTGTATACGGGTAACTGAATGAAGGCACACGACTAGTTCGTGTCCATGCATAGATGTTGATGTTGGGTTGGGTCCCACTTCAACATGATTATTGTTTGGTACTCGATCGATAGCTCGTCCAACTGCCACTGCCTTTAAAAATGAAAAAACTGTCAAACATTTGGTTAGCCATGGTTGACATTCGTATCCGGGACTGGCTGAAATAATAAGACCATCCGACTGCTGGTAGCATGGTGCTGTCTCCCTGATGATCATGCAAGGACTTGTTAATAATCAGGTAACTCTTCCAACTGCAACTGCCGTTAAGATTGGAAAAACCTGGCAAGGATTTGTTTATGGTTAACCATCCAGCTAGCTGCTGACTGCTTGAAGAATCATGCAAGGAATAGTTTTGCCGTGATCGAATTTCTCTGTTTGCAACCATTGGTAGAGCTCAAGAAAGGATAAGTAAAAATATCTCCGAATGTTATCAACCTAATATTCCTGATTCCATTTGGCTATTAGTTTTCGTAAGGGTCAGGTTGCTTTTAAGATAAACTTGAGGGGTGTCAGCCTTACCAGTTGCTATCCCTGGTACGCTGAATGATTTCATTGAACATTAATTATCACTCATCTATATGGTCGCTCAGGGGAGTAAGAGTTAAAAAAGTACACAAAGAAGGGTTTGGTGGTGAAACCCCTGAAAATTAAGATGGGTGTCAAGTGTCAACTGCCAAGGTAAATACACTAGTTAGTAGAAAGTCGTAATGTTTCTCTGCATAAGCCTTGTGTTTTGTGACTTGTGTCTCTCCGACAACTACATACTTGGTTCTGTTGTTGTGCAAAATAAAACAGCAAACTACCTACTTGGCTTTGGTTTTACCTCGAACCACTTTGTGGGACCGCAGCAGCTCACCTAATGTTTGTGTGTCCCATAGAAAATTCAAGTAATTAGTCTCATATCAACAAAATCATTTCATTTTTAAAGTTTTCAGAGGTAGTGATATATACTTTTCTCGAACGTGCATTAAGAAATGGATCTACTTCATAAGATGTTGTTATGAATTATCCTGATCGTCCCGAGTGAAAATCCCGTTAAAAACATATTTTTCAAATTTATTGTTGTTTTAGTTCATATCTTACAATTTTTGTGTGTCAAATTTACACTTATTGTCATGTATTTTTGCTCAAACTGCAGTGTAAGGAGAATAGCTAAATAACGTTGGGTTAGAAACATGCGAAATTACACATAAAATTTAATTTAAATGTCTCATTTTCTGGATTTTTGATGGGTCGGGTCGAGGACCCCATGGCAGTTGACTAACGGGCCATTTGGAGAAGCCCATGACGCATACAAGGAAGATTTCACAAGACTTGGCACATAAGAGGGGAGGACTCCTCTAACTGCTAGGCCTCTCGTGCATTATATAAGCCGAAGCCAGGCTAGTAGACAGATCATATTCTAGATCATTGGAATCATACACAACAATCTCATGATAGATATATGTACTTTGTACTATACCCCATATCAATACAATCAAAAGTAGGATCTGTGTGGAGCCGTGTTCCGGCGTGTCATCTGGTCGGTTTAAGTTGGTGGATCCGTCTGGATTCGACCGGTGTTCATGGTCTTTGGGGTTAATAAAGAACCTCATATGTGTTTTGTTCCCCGGGGCAGCGAATTGCTTTGCAGATCGCAACCGCCTACGTCCCTTGTTCTGCATTGACGACTTCCTAACAACTACTTCTACAATCTTTTGGGTTTAAAAAAGTTTACTCCGCCAAGGCCGGTGGTCGATTAATGTGGAAGAAGACTTCGACCCCCAAGAATTTGAACGTACTCCCTCCCTCTCATAATATAAGAAGAAGTGTAGGACGGAGGGAGTAGTTCTTATCTCTCTCTATGGCTATGGTTGTAAGGACCTGAGATAATTAAGATATAGCTTTGGGCCCTTTCACAAAAAAATAGATTTTTTTGTAGTCATGAACATTTTGAAGTACCTATAACATTTCCAGTATATACTAGTCAATGATAGTTTGACTATGACGCAAAATAGTGTTGTGTGTATATGTAAAAAGCTCACGAGCAGTGTGAGCCATTTGTGTAATGAACATGAACAATTTCTCTTAAATTACATGAACAAAAGTACTCCCTCTATTCCTAAATATTTGTCTTTCTAGAGATTTCAACAAGTAACTGCATACGGAGCAAAATGAATGAATCTACACTTTAAAATATGTCTATGTACATCCGTATGTGGTAGTCCATTTGAAATCTCTAAAAGGACAAATATTTAAGAACGGAGGGAGTACTTAACAATATTTTTCCATTGATAACTGAGACTTGATTTTAAATCATATTTACAACTTCCAAAATAATACATGCATAAACGCAGTTTTTTCATACATGATGTATTTAAGAGATTTTTTGCAGGTGATTTATTTAAGATATTTTAACCACATTTGTTTTTCTCTAAAAACACAAAAAAGATTTTTGAAAAATAACCTATGCATTAACGGGCCGGGCTAGTAGCTCCCATCATTTTAAATTTTACTCCTTATTACTATAACATTTGTTTTCTGTTTTTGTTGACACCAAAGGTCAAATCAAGTATCCCCGGCCGACCCCGTGTTGTTCAGCCGCACAAGCTGGAGGGGAAAGAGGAACCGGAGAACAACCGGTTCGGCTCACCTGCAGGGATCCTTGCAGGAACAGAGCCAATAATAGACCGCCACGTGTTCGTGTGGGCCAACTTCTCTTATTAAGATAGATTTAATTTGACACGAGAAGATCGTGCGGGGGCAGTGAGGCAAGCGTGAAGGGGTCCGGCCGCCGGCGACATGCGGCGCGCTGGAACACCAATGTGAGGGCCGCGCAAAGCTCCGCCGCCGTCTGGGCGGTGCTCCTCCTCCACGATTCCCAGGGCTCTGGCCGTAGTGGCGCCACCAGATGGTCGCACTCGTTGCGCCCTCGTCCCTTACCTCCGCAGCTTCAGCGACTCCGACATCCCAGCTAACCCTGCCATCTACGTTGTCATGCTCCTCGACAACCTCCATGAGGCGATGGGTTCCCTGCATCACGCGGTACCAGGTGTCATGCCATCTTCTGTGTCTTCCAACATACGTTCTTCTTTTTCTTTTGACAGGAGCATACGTTTCTTCTTGTTTTTCAGTTCATAATGGGAATTGAGTTTTTTTTTAGAATGAAGACGCTAGATGCGTCCGACTTTAAATTAATAAAGCCCCAACAACAGAGTAGCACACCAACCAGTCTTAATAAAACAACCAAAAGCTATACTGGCCCACGGCACAAAGTTCGGACGGAGCTCAACAAGTCACTAGCGAATTACAAGGCATAGCCCGTACAGAGCGCGCAGACTCGTCAAGCACTCAAAAGAGACCACAGATGCCACCGTAGTCAAGGCTCCCTAGCCGACGCGTACACTTGCAGGATTCGTTGTTGAGCGATCTTGATCATATCAGCATCCTTGCGCCTCCCCGACGGACTCCACTACTGCAAAAGGAGATTGTATTTGAAGATGATATTAGCCGGGTGAGTTGGGAAACAACCCTTGATCGTGAATTTATTACTAGTAAGCCACATGGACCAAAGAAGTGCCCCTACACAACTCCACAACACCCTGCAACGCGTTTAAGATGAGAATAAGCTCCGCAGCCGAACGCGGGTCCCATTGGACTTCAGCCGCAGACCGAACTGCGCTCCACGCAAACCGCGCAAGGGGGCACCAGAAGAACACGTGGTTCGCATCCTCTGGGTCCCCGCACAACGCAAGGGGGAACTGAGTTTTGTGAATGAGAGTTCACACAAGCAATCGAATAAAATGTGAGCAAGTAGTTTGAAGCAAATGGTTATTCGAAGGGGCTAGTTAGTTGAATGAGCCTTTGAACCTCGATGACATGGAGAACGTTGTACCACTGCAGCATGGATGGTTCTCACGTCAATGCTCGAGATGACTCCAACCGATGCATATGCTAGGACGTCCATAATGGCTGCATCAAACTCGGGATAGATGGAGGCAAACTGCACCACCAGTCCACCACATATGCCGCATAGCAACAACGCTCGACGACATCCTTTGCGACAGAGAAACTAGTGTGGACCGTCATCCCGGCGAGGACGTCGTACGCAACCGCAGCGTGCACCTGGTCGAAGGACAGACC